AGAACTTATCAAAATCAACACCCCAAAAACAAATAATCCCAGTTAAGAAATGGGCAGAAGACATGAATAGACATTTTTCCAAAGAAGACATCCAGATGGCCAGCAGACACATGAAAAGATGCTTAACATCACTCATTATCAGGGAAATACAAGTAAAAACTACAGTGAGGTATCACCTCACACTTGTCAGAATGGCTAAAATTAACAACACAAGAAGTAACAGGGGTTGGTGGGGATGTGGAGAAAGGGGAACCCTCTTGCACTATTGGTGGAAATGCAAACTGGTGCAGCCACTCTGGAAAACAGTATGGAGGTTCCTCAAAAAGTTAAAAATAAAACTACCCTATGACCCCGCAATTGCACTACTAGGAATTTATCCAAAGGATACAAATATAGTGATTCAAAGGAACAATGCATGTCAATATTTATAGCAACATTATCACAATAGCCAAATTATGGAGAGAGCCCAAATGTCCATCGACTGGTGAATGGATAGAGAAGATGTGGTGTGTATATATATATATATATATATACACACACACACACACACACACAGTGGAGTATTAAGTCATCAAAAAGAATGAAATCTTGCCATTTGCAATGATGTGGATGGAACTAGAGAGTATTATGCTAAATGAAATAAATCAGAGAGAGACAAATATCATATGATTTCACTCATATGTGGAATTTAAGAAAAAAAACCAGATGAACATAAGGGAAAGAAAAAAGGAGGGAAGCAAACCATGAGAGAGATTCTTAACTACAGAAAACATATAGGGTTGCTGGAGGGTAGGTGGGTGGCGGGGGGGGGGGGGGCGGCGCGGTGGACTAAGTGACAGGTATTAAGGAGGATACTTGTTGTGACTGAGCAATGGGTGTTATATGTAAGTGATGAATCACTAAATTCTACTCCTGAAACTAACAGTACACTATATGTTAACTAGAATTTAAATAAAAACTTGAAACATTAATAAATAAGACTATTAGGGTCATGGAAACAGAAATATTTATGTAAATACTGGTAAAATAACAGAGGCATATTTAAATTATGTTCTCATGTATTAATAATATTCTTTATGGGGGAGTGCCTGGGTACCTCAGTCCGCTGAACGTTAGACTCTCTTGATTTCAGCTCGGGTCATGATCTCAGGGTCGTGGCATTAAGTCCCACATCAGGCTCTGCATTCAGCAGGGAGTCTGCGTGAGATTCACTCTCCCTCTCCCTCTGCCCGTCACCCGCCCCCCCAAATAAATAAATCTTAAAAAAAATTATTTATGATTATTGTTGAATATCCCGAAAATGTAGAAATAATAAAGGAATATTCAGAAATTTAAGGAAGGTATAATTTTATAAATAAAAATTGACAGTATAATCATAAAAAGTCTTTGGGGAGTCAAAAGTTATACATGGAGTTTTTGACCACACAGGAGGCCGGCACCCCTAATCCTCACATTGTTCAAGGGTCAACTATATATATGTAAAGTGCCAGATGCCAATCCTAGCACTTAGTAATTGTTGGATAAGTCTTAGTGCTCTACCACCTTTCCCCAGAGTGCTTCCATTGGGCCCAACATAGCTGTGACGGGATGAACTTGAAATTTTTTAGGGCAACAAGGAAGTGGTTTAAAACAGCCTCTTTTTTACCTTAAAGATTTTACTGCCACCATAAGTAAGACGGGATAATTATAAAGGCTCCGGGTATGTACAAGGCCATTCTCTGGAACCCATACCTGATTCCTTGTCTTAGAAGAGAAATGACCACTCTAGAGGGAAGCTCAGTTACTCAACAAAACATTCTCGGCACTTAATAGAGCCAAACACATACAACTGTGGCCACATAGTCACATGGACCCTGTCCTTAAGAGTTTGCAGAGTAGGTAAACAAAGCATGAGCAACAGTCATGTGTAAATTAAGGTCTGACATCACTTCCCAAATAGGCAGTAAACAAATCAAAGAACTACAAATTATCTCACGCAAGTTTTGACATTCGCTACCAGCACTCACTTTGACAAAATTAAATGGAAATGCCTAAATATACACTAAGTAACTTTATAAGTTATAATTTTTCTATATTAAGAATTGACCAAAGAAAAAAACTGATAAAACTTATTCAGTCCAAAGACTAGTTATTCCTCTGCCCCCAACAATGGAAATATGATTTAGTTTTTCTTTTGACCAATTTCAAAAACCAGAGAACTAGAACACAGTATCTGTATTATATATTTAAATGACTATTTTTGAACCAATCTCTTCTGTATCTTAAAAATCTACTGCCAGGGGCGCCTGGGTGGCTCAGTTGGTTGAGCGACTGCCTTCAGCTCAGGTCATGATCCTGGAGTCCCGGGATCGAGTCCCACATCGGGCTCCCTGCTCGGCGGGGAGCCTGCTTCTCCCTCTGACCCTCTTCCCTCTCGTGCTCTCTATCTCTCATTCTCTCTCTCTCTCTCAAATAAATAAATAAAATCTTTAAAAAAAAAAAAAAAATCTACTGCCAGGAAATAAGCACATAAGGTCCTTACTGCAAACCTTCCATAAGAGAATCAATACTAAAGCAAAGGCACTAATGACACAGAATCCACAATTCAATATAAATAAGGACCATACTGAAACGAAAATGGTGAGTACTGTACATTAATTCAGAACTATTGTTAGAAAAGTTCATGATATTAAAATAAGTTGTGATCCACCAATCTAAGTAATTACTTAACTTCTCTCAATCTAGGCTTATTTTTCTGTAAAACTGGGAAGCAGTTCTTCCTAAATTCCAAGGATGCTCTGAGGACACATAATTATAAACCTAGGTACTGTTATAAATCCTTATACAACAAATCTGGACTACACTACAATGTTATTAGAAAAAGCCTATATAAACTACTGGGATTTTCACAGGCACTCATTAAATCATAGCACTGAGAACTATTTCTCACGTTTAGTCAACTGGATACTAAGTTGGTTAACTGCTGACATAAAAAAAAGTGATAGTCTTAAAAAAAACAAACCATCTTTTAAAACTGAGTGACAAATTCAGAGGCCTCTCATTGGTACTTAGCAGTTAATGATTCAAGTAAATGTTAATCTCTGTCCCACTGTTATCTTCCAACAAACAGCTAGGCTAGAACTCAGATCTTTCAAATCTCAATCGGTTTAAGAATTCAAGATGCCAAATTTCTGATACTTGTCCACGTATATTTTATGGCTGGATTATGGAACTATGCTAGCCTGCTTGACAAGGCTCTCGCCAAAATTCTCCTCTATAGAAAGATAATACTACTGTCACCATTTAACTAATTTTTCCTAAACTGGTGATTCTGCTGCTCCATCTACAACTGTCACCCAGCTCCAGTCTCCTCCTAAGCTACCACACACTAGTGGGGCAGTTGGCTGGTGTTACGTTGCAGCCTCTAGCCAAATAAAGTGACGCTAACTGGAACTGAACCAATGGTCATTTTGCAAGGACACCTGAACTTTGAAGCACTCTGTAAATTGCTGATTATTTCTAATAATATTCCTGTGAAGTTTCAGTATTGAGCCATCTATTATATTTCACTGTAAACTATACGTCACCTTAAAAACAAAAAAAGTGCAAGATATGTCCCTGGTTTTTAAAAACTCACAAATCTTGTCCAATTCTTTTTAAGTGTAAACAACTCTTACCAATGGGGGCAGGCTCAACTTAAAACTGGGAGGCGCTTCTCAGAGCAGCTAACCTGGCATCGGTCATTTGGGAACAACAGCTATAGGTCCTAGAATCTTAGGCTTTTCAAGCGCAGCAAGCCCAAGCCTTCATTTTACAAATGAAATTTTTAATTAAGAGCTTATGGTCTGATTACTATAATAGCTAACTCTTACATTGTACTAGGTACAATGTAAGCCCTTTACACCTATTTACTCCTTTAATCCTCACAACAAACCAGAAACAGGGTGAGGTCAACTAATTTGCCCAAGGTCACAGAAATATTAAGTGACAAAGCCAGAACTGAAATCCAAGCAGTCTAGCTCCTGAATCTATACTCAAACCACCAAGCTCTACTGCTTCTCTATAGAATGGCTTAAATGCAGCCTAGGGCTCTTCCACCACACTAGGGTTCAGAGTTCCAACCTGAGAAACTAATTCTCCCTACCTCCCTTTCTCCAATGCCACCATCGCCCACTATCGCAAATAAACTGCAAACCTGCGACTCCAAAAGTTCCTCCTGCCTGTCTACAATCTTAAGTAATCTGACTTCTGTATCCAAAATAGGTACCCTCTAAGAAACCGAAAGATGCAAGTAGTCAGTAGTCAGAAAAGAACTTGTATTGCTCGCTGCTGTTTTAATGGGAATATCTGAAATGCCAATAGCCTACGAGCGCTTTTTCTGAGAAGGGCAAACACCTACCGTATTTTCATGATGCCTAAAGTGATGAAACGGAGCTAAAAACAGGGACGGCCCTCTTTTTTATCCAGCTGTCTCTAACTTATTCGAGAAGGGAGATTCTCAGTTTATGCATCTGAATGTAGATGAGAAATGGGTGGAGGGAAAAATGCGGGGAGCGAGTATTACTCCAACTCTCCAAACTAAGGAGGCTCAGACTTCAGACCCTATGTGTTAGAAGTTAAACCCAGCATTACACACCACTGCTGCCCTGGCCGGCTTCAGTGCCCCTCCAGGCTGCAACGAGGTGGTTACGTGGCGCTTGGAGGCATTTCCTCCAGCCTGAAGAGGTGGCGGCTTTCCCGGCTGGTGGAAGCCCCTCGCTCAGGGCACTGCGACAGGGGGAGCCCCGGGGCGGCGGGAAGTGGGACGTGAGAGCTTCCCGGGGATACCAAAGGGGGCAACTTCTGGGGCTGCTTGCGCGGAGCCGCTGGGGGACCACTCCTGCTCGCCTCCCCTACCCCTCAGGCCCATCCCCGCCAAACCCGCCTCCCGGCCTCGAGGGTCTGCAGCAAGCCGGAGACGCGACCGGACTCCTGAAGCAAGAGCTCCCGAGGGCGGACACGACCCTCTGTGGGCTACTCACCAGGTTGAGGGGACCTTCCATTACTTCCATAGACGCCGGGGTAAGCGGCGGCCTGAGGAAGGGGAGCGACGGCGCCGGGGGACATGGAGGGAAACAGTAGTAGAGGGGGCGACGCAGCGGCGGCGACAGCTGCCCCTCTCCGCGCCCCGGGAGCCAGCAGCCGGCGCAGAGGGAGCAACAACCGCGCCACTTCCTCCTCCGGTGGCGCGCCGCGGGCCCGCCCCCTGCGCCGCGGGCACGCACGCGTCATGGCGTCACACGTGGCTGGTTCAAGGTGGGAGTGAGGACTGGGGAGTGGGTGGGGCTCAGTGAAGGCGGGGCACGGACGGGCGTACACTTGCTCCTGGGCTATCTTTCCTCTCGCGAGAGGCGTGTCTTCAGCTTCTTGAAGTCTTCTCTGACATTACGTGGGGGTGGGCAGCCTTGTTGAAATTTAAGTAAGATGGCTGGCTAATGCTTTTGGCCTCTCACATTTTCTGCCTGCGTGACTTTTCCCAAAATCTCTCTGCTCTGCTCCACCGTTTCTTGCTCTCCCGTTCCTACCTTTATTCTTGCATCTGATTTTTTTCCAAGAAAAAAACATCAGATTTGAGCAATGCTAGCCCATGCGCTGGACTAGACCTCCTCTGGAGGGAGACAAACGAATGATGAAGGACTCTGCCCTCCAGATGATAGCAAACTAATTAGGAAAGTGATATGGGTTACAAATAGCCAAATAGAATACTTGATTAAGCTAACAATTATATGCTAAACCACTCTGCTAGGTTCTTTCCGTCAAGGAATTCACTGACAAAAAATAATTGTGATTTATGTTGTAAAGGGAACAGATAGGAGCTGGGATAGAGGCACCATGAATTGGACGGCTTCAAGGAAATGAATTTGTTCAAAAGCCATGTGATCTTGAAAGAGGATCCCAAGCTTCAGGTGAGGCCCCAGCTGGGGCATACACCTTGATTCATACTTGTGAGATCCTGGGCAGAGGACTCACTGAAGCCATGCCCAGACTCCCGACCCATGAAAATTGTGAGATAATGAGTGTGTGTTGTTTTAAGCCACACATTTGTTAAAAGGCGAAAAGAACAACAAACTATTACAGACCCCTTGGAGGTGGTAGATAAACTGTAAACGTGGGTGGTAAATCCATGTCACTGCCCTAGTGAATTTCCAGTGGTTGGCTGTGTAGGGGACCAGTTTAATAAACTTCAGTGACAGCTGGACAAGGAAGGAGGAGAGTATGATGTATTCAAGCACTCAACTGTGTTTGAGGGAAACTTCGGTCAGATCAGTAAAAGAGAGGACATGCTCGATATACACAACCATATCCAAATGGTGACACAGACATTGCATCCACCAGCCCTAGTTTCTGCCACTTGCTGTCACCCTGTTGGCCTGCCTAGCCACAGGCCATGAAGAGCATGCTGGACATGGCCACGTCATCAAAGGAAAAGGGCAGAGGTCTACAAAGACTTTAGAGCTATCCAAGCTGATTCCTTTGAAAGTTGGGAAACAGCAGCTGCACCAAAAGCTTGCCACTGGCTGTTTTTACTACTTGCAGGTTTGTATCCCTTCAGACACATGGACGACTTCTTTGCCTTTGGGAAAAGCCCATTTATCTCCTGAGACTATCAGTGGGGGGTTATAGAAATCCCCAGGCCATAATAGCTGGGAACACAGTGGACATTCCTACTACTGAGTCAGAGATGAGAAGAGCTCAGCACTAGGTCTCTGCTGCAACTCAGCAAGATGGAGCCAGAGGCCTTTGGGAGAACATTTATTTTATTTTATTTTATTTTATTTTATTTTTTATTTTATTTTATTTTTTAGGATTTTATTTATTTGAGAGAGAGAGAGAGCATGAGCAGGAGGGAGGGGCAGAGAGAGAGGGAGAAGCAAACTCCCCACAGAGCAGGGAGCCCAACCCAGGACCCTGAGATCCCAACCTGAGCCAAAGGCAGACACTTAACCAACTGAGCCACCCAGATGACCCTGGAAGAACATTTAAAAGCTGCAAAGCTTTTTGTGCTTTCTGTGGCTCACCTGGAAAATGCATTTCATGTTAAAGAATCCATTCCTAAATGGGCCACCACCGATGGACTTGGCACATAGGAGAGGTTCCTTTGTTTCTCTAGAATTTACCACAAGGCATTCAGACATTCCTTGTATATTAGCTGCTCTAATATCATACCCATCTATAGCATCATGATGATCCAATCTCTTCTTGAATGCTCACTACACCAATCAAAGAGTGATCTGTTGTGATCTATTATTAATGATTAGGGAATTCTTCCTTTATTTGAACTGTAATCTGTCTTCCTGTGACTGCCATGCCCTAAGTTTGTATAAATCACTGTAACACCTATGTGTGAACACATGCACAATCTGTTCCCTGCTATCAAAATGTAGTGTGCATACCCTTGACTCAGCAATTCCTACAGAAATACTGGCATAAATATAGAAAATAAAGGTATGTGAGGAAGTTCACTGGGGCTTTGTAATAATGCTTTCCCTAGTTCTGGAATGCTCAAGTGAATCTAGAAGGACCATTTGGCAGAGACGTTGTAGAAGACATTGCTGCATCAAGTGGGAGCTTGAATTGATGACCTCAAAAGTTTGTCTAGTTATAGTCCTTTGGTGTACTCAGTTACAGGAAGAGAGGAGAGCAGGCCCTTCTGGTCTCCTGCTCCATCTTCTCTACCTTTGCTGTTCTCTCCACTCCATAGGAGTTCCGTGGAGAAGGGGATCAGGATAAGGCCAGTATCAGGAAGCTTCACATGGTCCTTGAGGTGTCTGGGAGCCCCTTTGATTATGCTATGGAAAAGGGAGTCCAATATGCCTCTCACACCTGCTGTTTATAGACTTCCCAGTGAATCCACCCAAAGCACAGCTTCTTCTGTAGTTATGAAACCTATGGGCCCTGCCAAAGGGTCAAGAACAGGGGTAGCAGCAGGGGCAGCAACAACAGTGCTGCGTGCAAGGCAGCAACCAGGTCTGCAGGCCCAAGATGGATCAACACAGCAGTATCAGGAGCAGCCAGCCCTAAGGGCCCAGGAGGATGAGGAGCCAGCACAGTTATGGCAGAACCATGTGAGTGGTTCCGGCAGGTGCTTTACACACGTCCTTGAAAGGTACTTTCAGACCTGATGCACAAAGAATTACAACAAGGTGGGGGGATTGTTTTGTATCCAAGCAGGGTGGCAGGTATGGGGGTGCTTCCAGCTGTGATTTTCTCTATTTTACCATGTCTGAGATCAGGTGATCTTATCGTCAGGACGCCAGGTGGCAGTTGTGATGACGTCGCATTGCCTTAGGAAAAAACCTTTAACCAAGTTTCTTTCATTTATGTTTACCTTTTTATGTATGATATGGGGCAAAAATACATCTAAGTCTGAAGGACCAGCCTCTTTCACTACATATAAAATAAAAATTTAAGTGATGAAAACAATGGCTGCATTTCAGAGAAAATCAGTTTAAGGTGGCATAGTTGGCATGTAAGTGGATAATAACCCTCTTTCCTGTACTCACTCTGTATGAGGACTCATCTTCCTGCTTCATCGATCCTTGCCTTGAAAGCAACCGCCAAATCCCTCCCTTTTCCAAATTCATCATGAACAAAAAGTAACACTGCCTTTAACTGTAGGGGCGCCTGGATGGCTCAGTCAGTTAAGCGGCCAACTCTTGGTTTCAGTTGAGGTCATGGTCTCGGGGTCTTGGAATCAAGCCCCAGGTCAGGCTCCACGCTCAGCAGCAAGTCTGATCCAGGATTCTCACACTCTCTCTGCCTCTGCACCTCCTCCCACTCTCTCACACACAAATAAATAAATAAATCTTTAAAAGGGCATCTAGGTGGCTCAGTCGGTTAAAGTGTCTGCCTTCGGCTCAGGTCATGATCTCTGGATCCTGGGCTCGAGCCCCATGTCGGGCTCCCTGCTCAACGGGGGTCTGCTTCTCCCTCCCCTTGCTCGTGCTCTCTCTCTCTCTCTCTCTCTCTCTCTCGTGTGCGCGCACGCTCACTCTCAAATAAATAAATAAAATCTTTTAAAAAAGTAAAAATAAAATTAAAAAAGGACTTCCTTTACCTTTAAATGGAGACTATAGTTTTGTTTTTTTGTGTGTTTTTTTTTTAAGATTTTATTTATTTATTTGACAGAGAGCACAAGTAGACAGAGCGGCAGGCAGAGGGATAGGGAGAAGCAGTATCTCCGCTGAGCAGGGAGCCCGATGTGGGACTCTAGCCCAGGACCCTGGGATCATGACCTGAGCAGAAGGCAGACGCTTAACCGACTGAGCCACACAGGTATCCCTAGTTTTGTTTGTTTTTAAGACCGAGCATGTTGTTGAACAGAGGTAAACATTATCTCGCTTCAAGTTGATTCCAGTGCTTCATGAAGATTTGAATTTCTTCTTTTTCCTAAAACTTTTCTATCCCCATTTCCCAATAGCAGTGGTTTAACTTTGTGTAACACTTTGCAGGATTCCAAGCACTTACATGTAAGCTTGCTCATTTAATTCCAACAGGCTGAAATTAGTGACTTGCCCAATGTCATAAAACTGGTAAATAGCTGAACTAGGTCTGAAATCTAGGTCTGTCTGGCCATAAGCCCAGTACTTTTTCCACTACAAGTAGCTAAATATCTACTGGAGTGACATCGAATGTTGGTAATAACAGAAATAGACTGTTAGGGTAACCCACTGTAATTACATAGGTTATTTTGGGTTTTCCTAAATTCACAGTCCTGAGTACCAAGAGATTCAAGCTAAAAAGGGAGTTGCTATTGTTAGTGACTCTATTCTCCTCTGGGGTATTTGCCAAGAACTATTCACAAACCAGACTGGGCAGGAACAGGCCGTGTGAGGGAGGGGGAGGGTAGCAGTGAGGTCACAGGCTCTAACTCCTTGGACTCTGAGCCAAGCTGTCCAGTTGCTTCAGCATGAGCCAGGATGAAGAGAGCCAAGTTAGGCAGGAGTCAGGCATTCTATTCAACAAAGTTCAACAGAGGGGAGGCCAAGGAAAGTAGAATTTCAGGGCAGGTTTCTTATGCAGTAAGCTGATACCTGGGAAAAGTCAGTCAAATAAAGGCAGAAAGGCAATGATTCAACCAACTTTGTATCATGTTAGTGTTTGTCAAACAAGGGAGCAGAAGAGAACTCTCCAAAATCCCAAAATGTCCTTGGACCATGTATCTGCTGTTGCATCAGCAGGGCTGCTTCGTTT